TTATGCAGATCATAGAAAAATTCGATATTCTCATCGCCTTCCTTAATCCACTTATGTCTTGATTTCTACCTCCAACAGATCTCTCTAAAAATAACTTCCCACTCCTTTTTCAGCTGCCTTCTCAAGTCTCTATCTTGCTTATTCATGTTTCTTTGAGACTCCTCATTCAACTCCTCAATCTGGGACAAGCTAACGTTTTGTTCCTCTAATCTCCCAAAATGATCCTTATCCCATTCCTTTATTTTGGACCTAAGTCTTTGCAAAAATCTGACCCCCTTCCATTTTACCCCCCTTAGCTCTTCATCCCACCATTCCTTTGCGCATAAAGTCCATGTGTGTCAACCACATATTCTCAAACCTAAATAGTTTAGGTCCACCCAAAAAGGATTTTGAGCCAAGCCTAATGAGACAATGATCAGATGTGACCCTAGGAAAAGCTAGATACCAAATATTCCCAATGACTCTCCCGACCTAAGTTAAACAGGAGCCTCTCCAATTACGAGCAAAGTAGGTTAACCTAAAAATTGGACAAAGTGTATCAAGTTTGCAACTGTGGAATATTCTTTAGTTCATAGACTTCTATAAAATCATTGAACTTCCTGATGCTATTAGTGATTGACTATTGGGAGTTACTAGTTTCATTAGAGAATCTAATTACATTAAATTTCCCACCCAAACACCAAGAACCATCTCATAAAACCTAGTGATGTAGGAGATGAAGAGTCAAAATTGGAATTTTATGAAATTTTATGTATTTGTGTATTTTAGGACAGTAGGGGTATTTTTGTCATTTTGCAATATTTTGTGGATCCATTGATTTAATTTGTCTAGGTATAGTTTGTTTATGTTTAAAATTCCAAAGGCATTGCATAAGTAGGATTAGAGTTATTGAGTCTTCTTTGAATTAAAATAGGATATGACAGCTTAGTTTGGGTTCTACTAGGATTACGGAGGAACAATTTGACTCCTAGGACCATTATGTAGGATTATTATGAATTTAGAGTCTATAAATATGTATGGACATTTTACACAAAGAACAATGAAGTTAATCAAGTTTCCTTCAGCTTATGCTAGCTATGGAGAGTGATTCCCATGACCTAGAGTGATTTTAGGCACCCTGTGAGTGATTCCAAGTATTATCCCTCTTCTTTCTCTCCCTATTTTCTCACTTATTCCTTCAAGAAGCCATTACAGCCATCAACAGCCATAAAACTCTGATCAAGAAGACCATTCAACATTCTCTAAGGACTAGAACTGAGCTGGTCCTACATCACCTAGACTACATACAATTCCTCCCACATTTCATTCCTTTCTCTATAGTTATTAGGGCCATGCAGATTAGATAAAACCCAAGCAAACCCATCCTCCACATTCTTATACTTTAAAGAGACAGAATCTACCTATCAGCTCCTCCATTGGTTCCATTTCAACATCCTTCCATAATGTGACAATTCCCCTTGAAGTTCCCCATGAGGGAGAAAAGGACCAACTTACTCCTCTTGGTCCCCAAAAACTTCTAACCCGTCTATCCAACTCTGTTAGTTTTGTTTCTTGCAACAACACAATGCCAGGCTTTTCTCTCTTAAATATATCCTTTATCACCCTACTTTTCTTGCACTCGCCAACCCCTTCACATTCCAACTAATCATTTTCATAGATATAAGTATGTTGACCTCCTTTGTTACCACAACCTCCCTACCTTGAGACCTTTCTTCTTTCTTCCCTCACACTAAACTCTAGATCTCCCTCAATACCAAAGATTAACCTCTCCACTTCCCTCCTTTTTTTGGAGAGAAGGATCATGTTAAAATAAATTATTTGGATGATACCTATGCACATGAAAATTAAAAACCTTACATTGATAATTAACGAAGTAAAACTTCCTTAGAGAAAACACCATAGAAATGGAAATATGTTGTGGAAATATTTAGACATTTTAAACTTTTCAAGGAAATGGACTTTTCTCTGAACTTTGGCATCTCCATACTGATACTAATTTTCACTCTGTAGAAATTTCCTCTTCAAAGGAAGAAAACCAAGAAGCTCACTAAACCCCACCCTTCAATGTGTAGTAGGAGGAGGTATTGCTATATCCATCTCACTTCCCTCCAAATTTGTCCTTAGTGTGGGCTGTTTCATAGAAACTGCATACTAAACCATGTAAGTTTTTTTTTTTTGATAATTACCATGTAAGTATTTTTTTTCTTTTTGTTTTATAAAAAGCTAGAAATAAAAACCTGTGCATGTCAAAACAAACAATTAACTTGAAATATAATCTGCAAGAACATGCTGAAGATTTTGTAAATTCATTGGAATGAAAAGATTTCATTGTGTTTTTCCATTGCATGTGAAATCACATATTCAACTCTAATCTACAAATATTAATAGTCAAGGAAAGGTTAAAAACGAGGTCACCTCAGGATTTCATGAAATAAACTCATCCAAATCTTCTTAACAACTGAAGGCAACTCCATTTCAGGTGAGGGCATCATGGACTCAAATGGTAATGAAAACTAAAACAAACTAATTTTGTTTGACTTGGCATCCAAAGATCAAGCATCCTCAAAATAAATATGCCATATTAAGGTAAGTCAACTTTGAGTGCAATGAAACTCCATGATTTTTTTATCAGCAATGAATTTATTTATTTAATTAATAAATGACAGCAGGTTACAGATTCTTTAGTTACTCTGCATTCCAGAGTATAGGATTACAAAAGCCCCAGATTACATAGAACAGCATCCCACTGTTGTAATGCAGCCAGCTACAATTTTGCCCAAAAAATAGTAGGTCTTTCAACCCCCGGTTTTTCCAGGGTATTTGACAATCCATTAGCTGTCCCTTTAACCCACCCAAATGTAGAGTTAAAACTCTTAGCAAGACTGTCCATCTCCCTGAAAGCAAATCTGTATTTCCATGGAGCTGAATTTACTTGCTTAGCCCAAGAAATGGCCAATAGTAAGTCCCCTCCTACTTCCAAATTTCTAGCTTCTATAAGTACTGCTAGTTTCAGATCCTGTAGGAGTGCCATTGTCCCAGCCTGAACTGAGTCTCCATTCCCAATTGGTCCTGAGTACATAGCCACAATTTCTCCAAGATGATTTTGAAATACTCCCCCTATTCCTGCTCTCCCAGGGTTTCCAAGGGAGCTACCATCAAAATTCAGCTTCAATTTATTTGGCTCCGGGGGTTTCCAATCCATCCTTGTAATTTCGTTATCTGTGCCCAATTGAACCACTTCCTCCCATTTCCTCATTATATCATCTGTTTAGATATCTAGGTAGGTTTCAAAAAAATAAAATATATAGATTTGCATGTAGGAATTACTAGTGGGGGAAGGGCAAATTTGGGGATCCCCACTTCTTGAAGGGACGAGGATGGGGTTGGGATTTCTAGCCTTGTTGGGGTACAGGGCGGGGTTTTTGTGTTTGGGATCAGGGACGGGGCATGCAAAATCCGGTCCCATCATGCCCCATTACCATTCATCATGTGGCCAAACAAAATGACATCTTTTCATTTTGTCTCATATTGTCTCGTGAACATGATAATGCCTATTCCAATCCTCTACCCTTATTATAATACGAATGATTCTATAGTTGTTATTTTAGCACTTCTTACTATTCAGAAATTTCTGGGTAGCTAGGGTTAAGGGTCATTATTTGGTGCAATGGTAAAATCTTCAGTTGGCAAGCATGAGAATGTGGGTTCAAGTTTGAAGGAAAACACTGTGCAAAAAACAATACCGAAGGTTAGGTCTGTATCCAGTCCACCTCTCCCAAAACTCCAGATAGCAAGTGCCAACATTGGATAATGGCCTTTTTTATTTAGAAATTTTTGGGCAGTATATATCCTTTTGTCTAAGCAAAGATATCCATCCAAATTCAAATTTGATCCTTAATTGGAAAATTCGTTCTTAGGCTTGGTATATTTTCCCTTCTAATAATTTCACCTAAAAATGCAAAGACACTTCTTATCATCTAAAATACAAATGTTTTTCCAGTTCATATTGCTAGAAGAGACAATTTACATTATTAAAGATGATTCTTCAGCATAGCAAACTTGTTTGTCCCTCTTAATTTGCTTGGACAAAGAAGAAAGGTAAAATCAAGTGGACAAGCCTAAGAGATGCAGTAATTTGGACACTATGGGAGGAGGGGAATGCAAGAATCAGAGTGGTTCACTGGTTAAAATCCATGGATTCGTCCTTGGAATTCTCAGCAGATTACGTTATGAGGAAGTGGCAGGAAGTGGCCCTTTAGCCTTGAAATCCAGGTCTATTCTTGGATTCCACCGGATGTTGGGTACATTAAACTCAACTTCGATGGAAGCAGTAGAGGAAACCCAGGCCCTACAAGTGTACGAGGTGTGTTCTGAAATTAAGTAGAGAATGTGCACGCTTTGTTCTCGGGTTCATAGGTATTGGTAATTCCTTGAAGGCTAAAGTATTGGCAATTTTAGGAGTAACTAGAGCAAAGGAGTTGAATTGTGGACAAACTGATTATCGAAGGAGATTCAAAGCTGGTGATCAATTAACCACTAAACAAGGGGAATGATCTGTGGGTATATACAAAAATGAGTTCAAAAAGTTTCAAGTTGATAACTAAGGAATGGAAGTTAAAACTCAATGGGTGCAAAGGATGGCTAACAACATGGCTGACCCTATGGCAAAACAATGGGTTGAGAGGACTCAAATGTTTTGGGCTCAGTTGTAAAAAACTTGATTTTGGTGATAAGGAGTTTTATCTCCTTTGTTTTCTGTATTCTCTGTTATTCTTGTTTATAATTTTAATGATTTTTTTAGTTATTGAGAAAAAAAAAGATTTTCTTTGAAAACCATTACTGCCTTCAAATAATGCATTTCTAATCTATCATAATTAAAAAGAAAATAATAGGAAATAAATAAATAAAGACAAGAGACTATACCATTTTCTGGCAATTATGTTTCTTCAATTAATTTAATCTGTAAACTTCCATATCAAGAAAAGGTCCAAATAGCATACCTGCTACACCTATAAAACATTACTAGGCCAGCAGATGCAAGTAAAACTCCCAACCAGGAAAAAAGCGCAAATGCAACTGTTAACTCTGGCAGATTTGATGCTGCAGCCAAAGAATCAAACAACAGAAATAAATATACTGTCATCTAACAAATAACATGGTATAATTTTTAAACAGAAGGGCCAGAGAAACATACCCGTGATGACTGAATGGATAAAGGTTATTAGTAACACAAGGATTATACACCAAAGTATAGGTGCAAGCCCTAGTTTTGAAATTTTCCCAAGGTAACTGTTCTCATCGCACCGTTTACCATGCACCTTTATTGCATTTTCCTGAAGTATCGGATTCATTAGGAAATATATAAAAAGAGGACATGTAATCATCAAGCAAGTGCAAAGTAATCTTTTAATAAATAACAGATAATTTCTATTAGAGAAAAGAGAAACAAGATAGAATAATTATGACAAAATGCAAAAAAAAAAAGAAAAAAAATGTGGATCCATGATAAAAAAGAAGTCATTACAAATCTCCCGGAAACTACATTGAACAAAATATCAGGATGGAAAGGAGGACATTAAGCATTAGTGAAGTCAGTTGCTAAGCCATCTTCGGTGTATATAATGATCCACTTCTTACTGAAAATGGCATAAGTGATAAAATAAACAGAATGGTAGGAGATCTCTTCTTGTCTTTTTTTCCCGATAAGCAAAGACTTATTGAAATAATTAATTATAAGAGAGGTAACAGTACAGTTTGATGACCATAAAGTCATCCCAAGTAAGTTAGCTAGGTTACATAGAAGCCCAAAACAACTGTTGCCTTTCCACTCCTTGTTTAGCAAGGGAATCAGCTAACCCATTTGCACACCTTCTTACCCACTTAAAATCAGCACTTAGTTCTCTTGCAACCCCATCCATTCCTGCCATACCTGGGTTGCCTAAGGAGTTCCATCAAAGTTCAACTTTACTATGCTGCCTTGTGGGGTTTTCCATTCCAATCATATTTTTTCTTTTTCTCTAGAGTGCTATTATCTTCCATGCCCTTAGGATATCAATAGTTTTGAAGTTCTGAAAGCACTCCAAAGTTTTAATCCAAAGTGCAACCTTTATTTTAATGGCCTCAATTACTTCCCCCACAGTTCTACTCTTTCCGTTGAATATTCTGTTGTCTCTCTATTATCAAATCACACAAACAACTGCTTCCTTTGTTGCTTTCCAAACTAATCTTCCCCTTTTCTTTAGCTGCCTCAGGAAATTTGGGTTAAAAATGCCCACCACCTCTTGAGGAGGGACTCACCTGTAGCCAAAAAGAGAGCAGGACTCCCAAATACAAGAAACAAAGGAACAAGAGATAAATAAATGGGATAAGGATTCTCCACTATCCCTAAAAGGAAGCACATATGAGGAGAGAGGCAAAGAGACAGCCTTCTTCTCTGCCGTATATCACAAGTATTAACCTTTCCAAGGAAGATTTCCTAGTAGAAGGATTGAAATTTTAGTGGGTAGGCTTACTCCAAATTTCTTTCACTGGGAAGTCACCCTTGGGAACTAGGTAGGGCTAAAAGCTTGAAAAAAGTGGAACATGTGAAGATACCATCAGGAGAGCCAGTCCAGAAAAAGTACTTTCCAACAAAGCAGCAGGTTAGTCAGTGCAGTGCATTCACCCTAAGGGCTCTTCTAGAACCAAGTTTCCAGTTAAGACCTGAAGGAGAGGAAGTTCCCAGTCTGGACACTGGTTCATCCTTACACTCTTTCCACCAAGTGATTTTCTGGGAGATCTGGGAGATCTCTTCTTGTCTTGAAGGAAACTCCCAGAAAATCACTTGGTGGAAAGAGTGTAAGGATGGAACACTGTCTTGAAGGAAACTCCTTTCAGCTGTTGAAAAAGCTAGAACAGTCCAATGTCTCTCCAACTTCAGAGGATGGTCTTTGGTGGAAAGAGTGTAAGGATGGCAGGTTTTCTGTAAAATCCTTTTACTCGGCGTTGGTAAGAAACAATCAGGTTTCTGCTAGCCTGAAAGGAGTGTGGGGGAACCCAGTACCACCAAGAGTGGAGGCACTTGCATGGATGGTTGCCCTTGACAGCATTCTAACCACATATCACTTGAAGAAAAGAGGTGCTTTCCTTCCAAGTTTCTGCTATTTGTGCAAAATGGATGAGGAGACAGTGTTCCATCTGTTCTATTCGTGCAAAGTGGCAAATTTCATCTGGAAATTCTACTCCTTCCTTTTTGGCAAGTCTGTCTTCCAGCCATCATCTCCTGCTGAGATTTTCTCTAGATGGCTGAAAATTAGTGGCAGAAAGAAAGCCAGAATTGAGTGGAGTTGTATTCGTTTTGCAGTTTGGTGGTTACTGTGGGCTGAAAGGAATAGAAGAGTATTCGAAAACAAAGCAAAAAGTTTGAAACTAATAGTTTCTGCCATGAGTTCATTGGTTTCAGACTGGATGCTGGTTATGCCGGAGTTTGATCAAGTTAGAAGGGAGGAATTGATAGAGAACTTTTGGGGTATTCTGGAAATACAACCATGTAATGAAGAAATTCAGATTGTCTAGCTGTATCTCAACCTGGGATGTCAAGGTGTCTCCTTGACATCCAATGCCTTGTAATCTTTTTCTTTTTAATAAAATTTTTTCTTCTATCCTTCAAAAAACACTCCCAGAAAATCAACTGATCAAATGGGGGAATTCTGCAATGAGAAATATATGGGTGGCTTTCAACTTAGGTCCCTTCACTATTTTGACAAAACCCTATTAGCAAAAACTGGCTGGATTTTACTCCACAAGAAAGAATCTCTTTAGGCTCTGGTGATGAAAGGACTCTAATTTACCAGAAAAGGCTTCTGGAATGCAGAGCTGGGTTACCATTGATCTTGGGCTTGGCAGGGAGAGACCTACTTAAACTTGGTTTTTTTTTTTTTGATCAGTTAACTTGGTTGTTATTAGCATGTCAGTGATGGTCACACCATTTGTGTGTGTGTGTGTCTTTGGGAGGATCCTAGATCCCAGCATTGCCAGGCTTTCATATCTCATCCCCAAAGCCAATAAACAGAACCTACATTTTTTATCTGATCACCATAGAGCAAAACATGAAAATCAAACCTTTCAAGTCAGTTATTTTTAGGTGGGGAAGTAGAGACCATCAGCAAAATTCCACTTATCTGGACCAATTGTACTGTTAAATCTGCTTTCTACAAGGCAAAGTTTACTGAAACCAGAGGAGCATGCCATCATAATCAGATTAAGGCCCCATTTGGCATCACTCCGGTGGAGTGATTCTTTCGATTCTTGCATTCCAAAGAATGGGAATCACATTTGGGATTACTGGGGGCTCAACACCTGTTTAGGGGTTGACAGTTGTACTTAATTCTGGAAAGTTATGCTTAAGTTGTATTAATGAAGTTACTGTTTCCAATCAAAAAAATCACATTTGGGATGGTCAAATCATCAATTCTAATTTGAGTCCAGAATGAAAAACGCCCCAAAATCTGCATTTTTTTATCAGCGAAGAAGCCCCAATATCCACAATTCTTAGAAGTGAAAAAATTCCACTTCTGAGAACTGAGAGTCGTGGTTTCTCGCAAAAAAAAAAAACAAAAAAACAATTCTTGCTACGCCTTACTTATATTTACGAACAGGTGCCATGTACACACGTGAGACCAGGGACATTTCTGTCATCTCAAGCATAAATAAGCTTTACTCGATGAAACCCCTATCCCCCATCGTTTTTTTCTTTCTTCTTCCCCCATGCCCCATCTCCTCCAACAGCCATCTCCTTCCAACCACTGCTTCATCGTTCCTTAGTAAGACTTCTTTTTTTCTCTTTTTTATTTTCACATTCAAAAATCCATCCCAACGGTCTATCTTCTCTTACATTTTTTGTTATTTTCCATGTCACAATGCATCCTTTCCAACAAATCTTTCTTCCCCAGCCGGTGCTTGGAGAACAGTACAGACAGATCTTTCTTTCTTCCCCAATCAGTGCAGGCAAGTGTGGCTATACACTGACAGATCTTTCTTTCCTCCCTCCAACAGATATGTGTTTGTTTGTTTGTTTTTTGAACTTGCACACAGCTGGAACTGTAGATCACATATGTGCATCATTTTTTTTGGGATGTTTTTGTTTGATTTTTTGTGATAAACTGATGGACAAATGTCTTAAAATCGATATAAAATAGCCTGTTTCTTATGATTATTTTTTATTCATTTTTTGTGATACACCAATGGATAAATGGGTGCTATTTTGTAATGCAGCCCCTGTTTCATATTTATCTTTTTGTTTGATTTTTGTGATAAACTTTAAACTTTTTCAAAGATATTTTTTGAGTAATAAATCTATGCAGCCCCTATTTCGTAGTAATCTAAAATTTTTGTGATAAATTTTAGATTTATCCTTGTAAGAACCAATCGACACTATCAATTTCCCCTCCGTCCTCACATATGGTTCTTTTTCTAGCTCTTTTTAGTTTAATTTTATTATGGGTATTATCCATATTTGATCTGAGTCAAATTTGAACATTTGACAGTAAATCTTTGATGCACAGCTGTGATATCTTTGATGCTTTACTGGAATGGTTTCCAGTATTCAGATGAACATCAGGATCCACCAATGGATGGGTCCTACCTAGAAGATTAGGTGAGCCAAAGTAGAATGATCATTAGACAATAACCAACTTTTTTTATTTTGTATTTAACTAGGTGAGATGTGAGAAAGAGCTTGATTTTAAGTTGAAAAGTATATTACACATAATGCACAACCAGATGGCTAAAACTCAATCTGATTGGGACTTGAGAGACATTCATGGTGGGTCCTAAATTTTGGTACAAATAAAAAATGGTAAAAAGGATTTAACTTGAATCCTTGCATAGCTTATTTCTCATTTAGTCATACATAGACCCTTGAAATCATAATTTGGACTAACAAAGGAGGAATCTATGCTTTCTACTTGAACAAGTAGCACACAGTCCAGCTAGTTCTTCAAGCTGCCTAACCTCCAGCCATGTCTGAACCCATCAGGTGCCATCATGGTTATGACATGATTGTTCTTCTTTCAGATGTCAATGATATTAAGTTCTCTATCCAAATTATACAGATATCATTTTTGTACAATTTTCTAGTGGGGAGGCCCAAAGTCCCATTTCCCAGTCAGGCCATTTGGGGGAATTTGGCTTCTCCATAAGTCATTTTTTTGTATGGGTGGTCGCTCTGGACTCTGGAGAGGTGTCCGTCCAAAAAATGCTGCTGAAAAAAGGTCTTAACTTGTCAGATTGGAGATGCTGTTTTTGAATTGTTCCAGTAGAATCCTCCGGGCATCTCTTCCTTCACTGCAAGTTT